TTTTCTAGGTCTTGAAAGGTTATCCCCAGAAGCTTGACTGTGTCACATGATCAGTGCTTTGGGAACACATCAAGAGTGCCTTGGTCTTCCCCAGTCGCCTGCCTTACCATGTCTGTATCATTTGTTCAGAAGCCAAAAAGTTATGGTGGAAGCAGAGAATGGGATTGCTGTGGAAGAACTTGGGCCAATATTATAAGCTGTGTAGGTGGTGAGAATTGTGAATATTCAGTAATAAAGTAGGTGTACCAACACGAGGTTAGTGAGCCAGTCAGAGTGTGAAGATAGAGGAGACTGCCGGGTTTTTTCCAGAGGGCTACAGTGTGGAGCTCAGATTTTGGGTCTGGAACTGGGACCAGTTTGGAAACTAGGGGATACCCCTGTGTGACCTTCAAAGTGAGATTAGCAATTTAGGGGCCACACTGCCTTGCCATAGAAAATTGGAACAAGGATGTCAACCCTGTATGTTTGATGATAAAATTTAGGCAGTAGCAGCATCATTTGTCAGCAGTTATGGGTTGAACTGGCCACAAGGTGAATCAAAATCTAGACTCTCAGCAGTGAATGTTGGGATTTCTTTTCTTCTTCATGGCGCCGCTTGTTGGTTACTATGATGATGAACCGTCAGGAGTGCTCTTGGTAATAGGATCCAGAGAGGAGTGCTCTGGATATGCAGGCAGGCACATGCCTAGTCCAGTGTCAATTTTAAAATTTGTGTTAATTTGAGAGATTCTTGGGTTGTCAAAAATTTCTTTGATCCCTTTTAAAAAAAATAGACTATTTTTTAGAGAAGTTTTCACAACTGTAACTAGTAGAAGATGCACAGTGATTCTGCCCCCCCCCACCTTGGTTGTAGCTTCCTCACTGTCACCATCAAAATCAGAATTAGTGGTAGCTTTGTGAGCAAACTCTAATATAGACACATCAGAAATCCTAAACCTTTGTATAGTCCACGTGGAGGTTTCCTCTTGCTGCAGCACACTGGGGTTTGAACTCATGGCTAACGGCCTCACTCTACTGCCATGTGACAGAATAATCCACTGCCAAGTCAACGTCCTGTGTTCAACTTTCATCCCTCCTTCGCCTTTCCCCTGGCAACCACCCCAGCTTTTTTTGTATCGTCTCTGGTTTTTTGCCCATCCGGAATGTCTTATGGTTGGAATCCCCGGGTCTTGGTGAAGTTTTTTGATTCTTTTCGCTGGTCGTCCTGATAAGGAATTGTTAATTCATCGATGAAGCACCACAACACCTTTAATGTCCAGGGGATGAAATAAAATACAGTAACTGGAAGGCAGAGTCAACAGAAGGACAGCTTTGTTCATTAAACAAGAATTATTAAGTTCCAGTGACCAAACTAATTCAGCATGTTGTTTTACAGATCGCTCTTAGGATGGCAGGTCACACTAACATCAAAGATATTTTCTTTTTATTTCTTTCTTTTTAATGTTTATTTTATTTTTGATAGAGAGACAGAGAGCATATACAGAGGGGAGGAGAGAGAGAGGGGAGCATTGGCTGCAACCGGGCAGTGCCCAGGCTCAGAGCTGTCACAACACAGGCCTGGCCAATGCAGGGTAGCTTTCGGAATCACTACACAAACCATGAGATCATGAATCTGGAAATGGGGTTGTGGGACATTCTGAACCAACTGAGCCACCCAGGTGCCCCCATCAAAGACATTTATAACTTCAGATATTTTGGATATCCATAAATAAGAAGGAAACTTAAATTCCATATGATCATCACTTTTTGTTTTTTCTTCCTTTAGACAGACCCATAAATGAGGCCAGATCATAATCCATAGTTTTCTTGGCAAGTGTGAAATCAGTACAGACCGGGAGGGTTGATAAAATAAAAATTTGATGACCTAATACAATCATTTCATGATGGGGAAGATTTTGCAAAGGGGGTCAGTATCCTTTGATGGCCAAGAACACAATGCCTGGAAAACAGAATGCTCCTTGTAAATAAACGTTGCTATAGTGATGGTAATGATTATTCCCCATG